CAAACACTTGAATACCCATGACCCAACCTAAGAACCGAAATAGCCATACCTTGAAATAAAGGCATTTATTTGTATTTATCCATCCTTTGTTCATTTTCTTACTGTGTGTGTGTGTGTGTACGCGCGTATTAAAATCTTAAATGTGAAAGACAAAATCTTCAGAAGAAAATAGGGAGTGTTTATCTTTTATTTTTTTATATTTATATCTCTACAGTTGCCATTTAAATATATTATTTATTACTAAATATTGTATTAGTTTCACTTGTTTTTAAGCTTTTTAAAAATGGTATGATTTTAATGTTCACTGACCTGCTTTTCTCTCTCATTGTAGGTAGGTTCATGCATATTGTTGCAGTAGATGTAGTTGATTCATTCTCATTGCTAAAGTTATTCTTCTGTGTGAATAAAAACAATCCACTTATTCTCTTGTTGATGGACATTTGGGTTGTTTCCATTCTTTTGCCATTATGAATGATATGCTACAAACATTCTTGTACATGTCTCCTGATAAAACATGTATGAGGTTTTCTCTGTTTGCAGCTTATCCAGGCATAGGTTATACAAATGTTCAGATTTTTAGGATAATGCCAAACTGCTTTCCAAAAAAGCATTCTAATTTATATATCCACTTGTGTCTAAAATTTTCACTGCTAATACTTCATATTTGCAAGTCGTATGGTCTTTTCTCAGATTGTCCTTGGGTATCAATGTTAGTCTCATAAAATGAGCTGGGAGTGTTCCCTGCATTTCTGTTCTCTGGAAGCATTTATTTAAGATTGAAATGATCTGGGGGCACCTGAGTGGCTCAGTTGGTTAAGCATCTGTCTTCAGCTCCTGTCATGATCCCAGGGTCCTGGGATCAAGCCCCACATCGGGCTCCCTGCTCAGTGGGGAGTCTGCTTCTCCCTCTACCTCTGCTGCTGCCCCTGCTTGTGCTCTCTCTGTCAGATAAATAAATAAAATCTTAAAAAATATATATATATATAACATATAACATATATGTATATAAACATATATATGTATCACTTAAAAAAGATTGAAATGATCTGTTCTTTGATTTTTTTAAAACTTGTAAACTGGCTGGGTATATTCTTTCTGAAAAGATTCATTTAAAAGAGAGTTTATATATATATATGTATATATATATATGTATGTTAGGTTTTTAGTATTTTTATTATAATTATGAACACATAAAAAAGTAAACAAAATATTACAGTTAACTCCAAGCATTCCTGTACCCAATTCCAGCATCTATCAAACCATGGTCCATCCTGCCCCATTCTTACCCTTATCCACTTCCCTCAAAGAAGACTGGGGATATTATTATAGTGAAGGAAATTGAAGACATTTGAATTTATTTGTAAATATTTTACTATGTGTCTCGAAAACATAAAGATTCTTTTAAAAAAGTATAACCCAATACCATTATTATACCTTAAAAGAAACAATTCCTTTTAATGTCAAAGAGCTAGTTGTTTTCAAATTTATAATTATTTAATATCATAAAAGGATTGAGCTATACATAAAATGTATAAATAATATATTTTAAAACTTACTTATAAGTTTATATATAAATTACGCATATACACAGATTGATTGATTGATTTGAATCAGGATCCAAATAGTATTGACATATTGTGATTGGTTGAGATCCCTTTCCAAGTAGATAGAATATTTTCAACTAGTGCCTTTGAAATATACCAAGGCTTTCTTTATGCCCTGACATAGTCAAGTTTTTAAATATTTAATGCTTGCTTGAAAAGGATATGTAATTCTCTTATTATTGGTTGTGGGATCCTATATTTAAATCATTAAATAAAGCTTTTTAATATTAATTTTTCTTTCTCCTTTCTTATGTATTTTTTTTTCTTGAAGAGACCAGGTTGTTGTTTGTCTTACAGTTTTTCATTGCAGCAAGCATCTGTGTGGTGTGGTTTAACATATTCTGCTGCCTTTTTGAATCTGTATTTCTATAAATTGATAGTTGGATTTAGACAGTTGATTAGATTCATGTTTAATTTTCTTTTCCAAGGTCATTCGTTAGGGGTAATGTGTTCCTTGATCATGAAACTCATAATGGTTATCTTTTTTGTGATGCTAGTGGCCCTTTATGTTTAGTGCCTGGATTTATTAAAGATTTAAAATGGTAATGTTCTAGTTCTATTCTTTTTTCATTCACTAGCTGGAACACATCAATAATGAGAAACTTACCTTCATTGTTTGTTTACCCAGTGGTACAGTTTGTATATGAAAGGTGAGATGAATGCCTATTTCCCTATATTTGCTAGCTTTCAATAAAGTAAATTTATTCCCCAGTATAGTCCAGTGATGATTGTTTCTTTTGTATCAGTATGAGCTCATTGAATTCAACATACTTAATGTTTCAAAATATGGCATTTATTATTTTTATTGATATGCAAATTTTTCCATCTTTGGCCATTGGAAGCCTTTTCAAGCTTTTTGGTACAACCCAAGTAATCTTTTTTTTTTTTTAAAGATTTTATTTATTTATTTGACAGAGAGACACAGCAAGAGCAGGAACACAAGCAGGGGGAGTGGGAGAGGGAGAAGCAGGCTTCCCGCTGAGCAGGGAGCCCGATGTGGGACTCCATCCCAGGACCCTGGGATCATGACCTGAGCCGAAGGCAGACGTTTAACGACTGAGCCACCCAGGCTCCCCCCAAGTAATCTTTGATACCTCTCTTGAAACCTGGGTTAGAAGATGGTCTAAGCTCATCATGAATGTTCCTAGCCCCAAGATCTGGAATTGGCCATTTCTCCAAGGAGCCCTGATTCCCTTTAGAGGGAAATGGTATTTGGAGTAACAGTCTGGATGCTAGAGGTGTGCGTTTCTACAGAACTGGTCATCCTTTCTAAACTTGTCAGTGGTCAGAACTAGATTTGTGTGTGAGAATAGTGTGTGTATTTTTATTTAAGATGAAATACATCATGAGTTTAAATGGATACTTCCAACTCAAATTGAAGAGCATAATGGTAACTTATCCCCTGTTACATCTTCCTTCTCAAGAATTTCATTTCTCAAGGATCTCAGGAATGGCAGAATTAGAATGTCTTATATTAATCATTTGCTTTCTTACTCATCAAATGATCTCAGAATAACAATACTAAATTATCACTAAGGGTATGATTACTGAAAATGGAGTCTAGTGATTACTTCATTGGTTGTAAGTGTTTTGTTTTTTCTTATGCCAATTTTGATAAATGATTTCTTATAGGAATTTGTCCATTTCTTCTAAATTTGCATCGTTATTGACAAGATTTTTCTGTGTCCGTATTATCTTTTAAACCACTGCTGTCAATGTAGCTGTGTTCTTTTCACTCTTACTATTATTTATTTGTGCTTTTCTTTATTGTCTCAGAAATTTGTCAATTTTATTTTAGTTTTTTTGGGGGGAAAACTTTTGGCTTTATTTCTTATTTTTTCACCTTCTTCCATTTTCTTTGGATGTATTCTGTTCTCCCACTATTCCCTGACCCCAACTTAAGTAGGTCACTTAATTCATTATTCATTACCCTTTCTTTTTTAATATAAATGTTTAAGGCTTTTAGTTTGGACTTAATGTGTTATTATCAGTAGCAGTTTGTTACAAAGTTTAATTATTATGCTGGATCCATTTTTCGTTGATAGTTTTATGAACTTTTGATACCATGTTTTTGGTATCTTACTAAGATGATTTATCCTTCCCCCCCTTTAGCAAAGCAGTTTGCAGTTTTGGTAATTTCCCCTCAATTAGTGTTTATATTATAACTTCATATGTGGTATGGATGTACCCAGTTTTGCATATTGGGAATGTTTCTGAATTTTTCTTTTCCTTCTTTCTTTCTCTAGTAGTTTGCCCACAAGTCCTTATGTTGTTTTTGTTGTTGTCTTTTTTCTTAAATTTTTTAAAAAGTGAGATTTATTGAGCAGTAATGTACATGTAGTTATGAGATTTGACCAACAGATATAGATATAAATCCTTCCTCACAGTCATGATACCAAAGAATTCCATCATCCCCAAAAACTTTGCACATGCCACTTTGTAGGCTTCCCTTCCAGCTTTCTCTCTATGGTGCTGTCTTTTCTTTGTTTTCAGAGTAGGTAATTTTTCTGTGACCTTGGCTCTCAGAGAAAGTTCCACAGAAGTTAAAATTTTCTGGCTTTTGTTATTGTTAGGATGTGAATGGTGCTCTTTCCAGCCATACACATTAAACATGTTTTACTAGCACATTTTGGGTGGGGGGGAATTAAAATGTCCATGTATCATTTTTGCATTAGTATTACCATTTGAGTATCTTTCTCTCACACATATATTTTCTTTTATATTCCTGTATATCCTCATTGAAATTTTATTTAGTGCACGATCTCTTAGGTCATTCTATAATTTGTACTTAAAATATTTTAAAGTTCAGTGTTAAAAGATTCTCACCTTAATATGTGAATTTCAAGTTTATGAATTCCTGACCTCCCTGCTTTTTAGTTCTGATTTTCAAATTAAATATTAGTATATGTTATCCTGAGTTTTACTCTAATGTTACAGGACATGTTTTGTTAATATATAATCAAAAAATTTTATAGAAACTTTAAAGTGTATACTTTTTTGATTGCCAGATTTATTATTATTTGTGCTTATCATCTTATTATAATTAGCTAATTTTAAGGCTAATTTTTTTTGCTGACTACATTGTATCAAAGGAACTGATTTTTATTACCAAGAAGTTATTAATATTAATAAAATTTTGAAAATATTTCATCTCAGCTATGTCTCATTTTTTAAAATGTATTATATATGGTTTATAATAGCTTATTAGCAGATATCCACAATTTTTAATTGATTTTAAATGCTTCTATTAATGTGTTAAATCTTGTATTAATTAAATACATGATAATATATCATCATTTTGGAAACAGTATTGCATATTTTAACCTGATTTTACCTCCTTATTGCTTTCATGGCCATTAACATTGGCTTACTAAATGATTCTTTTTACTTTTATAGGTTATTTTAGTGTCTGCCAATAAATTGACTCGTTACATAGAACCATGCCAGTTAACAGAAGATTTTGGTGGGAGTCTCACCTATGATCACATGGACTGGTTAAATAAGAGACTGGTTGGTATATTACAGTGAGATAAAATTGTTATTACATACAAATAAGACATATTTTGGTAACTTTATCATTTTAATTAACTAACATGTAGATTATTCTTTGTTAGAAAAATAAAATATAGTGCATACCACATGATAGCATAATGCTTGAAGGCAAATACTCTGCAGTTAGACTCATAGTGTTTGCTTTTGCTATTGTCATTTGTAGCAGTATTTCTAGTCAAAATTGTGAATATTTTAGTTGAATGACAGAGTAGTACAATTTCCTAAGAGGTAATCTAGTTGATGTACCATTTTCAGAGAGGATATTTAAATATCAGTTTGAGTTGAAGAGCAGTGTGACAGGTTAAGGTTTTCATTTCTGAAAATGTATCTTTGGCCAGATTGAAGTCAACTCCTCTGCATGCTATGGCATTGTTTAATCGAACTGCTGGGGACTAAAAGAACTACTTCTATTAACTCCGCTTAGATTACAATTATTCTTTGAATGACATGGGAGTTGGGGGCACTAACCCTCCGCAGAGTTGAAAATCTGTATGTAACTTCTGACTTCCCAAAAACATGTTCAAGAGTCAACTGTATAAGCTTAACTTTATTGAAGAATAATAAACTTGGATATTTCAGAATGGATAACCAATTTCCATCATATTTGGACAGTTATTCAGGCAAATGAGTGTCCCTTTTATTATAAACAGACTTGCCCAAGTCCCTTTTTAGAAATATTTTAAGAAGCCATGTTAAAGTTATAACTAGTTTATTTTTATGCTACATGCTTATATGTAAAACTCTTTAGTATATGCAACCAGTGTGGATTAGTGATAGAAAAACATAAATGTTCTGTAACTGGAATTAGAAGATTAATACTGGTCTAAATCATGTTCATGTAGTTTAAACTTACTAGTGCAGATGTTTCTTCATAAAACACAGGAATAAAAATAAACTTGTCTGAGGAATAAAAATAATTTCTTATCCTATTTAAATTTAAAAAATTTCTTATCCATTGAAACTATTCATTGTTCTGGAAGGGGGGTTTTGTCTTCTGTCCTTTAAGTTGTGCACTGGTGGTTGAATTGTACTAAGTGACATCAAGAGAGGAAAAGGGAATTCTGCCTGGCTAATTGTATTCTGCTTAACTGAAAATCCTTATGTAAACATTAACTTTTAAGATTATTCTTAATATGTTAACAAAATCTCATATTGTAGGTTTTTGAGAAGTTTACAAAAGAATCTACATCATTACTGGATGAACTTGCTTTGATTAACAATGGAAGTGATAAAGGCAATCAGCAAGAGAAAGAAAGGTAGGTGGCTGGTGTCTTGGAGTTATACCTTTGCAAAGCTATGATGAACCTGATGAAGAATATCTCTATTAATGGAAGCTAAAAGAAGTAAGGTGTAAGCAATTCTCCAGTCAAAATTGACATATAAAAGTTGAATTAAATTTATTTATTAATTCATGAGAATTTGCTTTACATGTAAAATTTCTTGATTTGAATCAAAGTTTCTCTACAAAAGACTTTTTGATGAATAAAATGTATTTACCTTAAAAATTCATTTGCAAGAACACATTTTCAAAATGAAACCATTTTCTTTTTAGAGTTCTATTTTGCTTGTGAAGACTATGGAAGAGGTTGCAGCTTGAAATAAAATTATTATAACCTTATTTAAATACCTCTTAAATGCTTACCTTCTAGAACTCCTAGGTCCTTATAAAATATGTGATATCTGTGAGTTCAACTTGGAGAATTTAGTGTTTATGACACTGGATGAAGTAATTGTTCAGTTGTATTATCTAAATGTAACTATTTAGATTTATCATTTTAACAGATTCCATTCAACTTTACAAGCTTAACAATTTTCATTTTTTTGTTGGTAAGCCAAATCCTTCTCCCCAGGTTAAAAGCTCCTTAGGAAGCAAATTAATCCTTTCTGGTCTCTCAACAAAGTGGTTACTAGAACAGTAATTTTTCATTAGGAAATTTGAAAGGATCAACACTCATCCTTGCCTACGTCTTTTGAATCAGACCTTAAAAATATAATGGAACCTTGATAAAATGCATCTTGTTATTCCTTGAATACAAATATAGTCACATATATTTATAATATAAATATACATTTATAATACATTTATAATAAGGTGAGAGGGATATGAGAAAGGTCAGAGTTAAACACCAAATCTTGATTAAAGCAAAGTGAAAATGTGAAAACAAATGGTTTGAGTGGAAATCGAGTTACAGTCACAGGAAGCACTTAGGAACATTATTGTCCTGTAGATACCATATAAAAATATAAAATGTAAAATTTTGACATGTGCGTAAATGTGTGTATAGATAACTCATACACTCTATGCTATGGTTTAAGAATTGAAAACGTCACACAAGTTGGTTGACAAAAATTAGCCAAACCTCTAGCTTTCTGAGTAGCCCAGCAGAGTAAGTTTGATGCTTCTTAAGGTCATTTTCCTCAGGAAAGACGTCCTAAGAGGGTACCTGTAGAAAATTAGTTCGTGGTCACAGCCTAATGCTGTTTATCATGTTTCCCTCTCTCAGAATGACTGTGAACATTTACAGATTACAGGTCTGAGAAAGCATTGCAGTAAAGAAACATGTTTCCTGTACTTACATGCCGGCGGGACCCCTTTTTCTCCATCTAATAATATCTTGTTCAGTGTTTTGGGAAACACTTTGGGAAATGCTGGTTTGCATGACTACATGAAGTATCAAATAAAATCTTGTATTTGCCAGTTCCTCCCCAAGGAACTCAAGTGTTATTACTTAGTCTCTTTTAAATCCTAGATAATAAAGTCCCTCCACTTGAAATTTTCATCACCTTTTTAATGTCATTACTCCAGAAGCATCCAGGCTACACAAGAGGCGAGGTTCCAGATGAATTGACAAAAGTGAAAGATTTAGAGCAGGACCGGTCAGTTACAGCAGCAAGGTCCTAGGCTTTGATTTGCCATGTGCTTTATCTTTCCTTCGTCTTCTACTTCCCATATGTGTTTAAAAAAATACAGAGCATGGTCCAACTGCAAATGAAACACAGTTAGTACAGGGAAGAGAGTACAACTGCGTGGGGATGCACATGCACATGAATATCAGAGACTATTTGTAGCTCTCAAAGTTTGCTATAGATAAGTAACGCTTAATTGGAGGATGGCTCCATGCATTTTTAATGTTAACATTTCTGGGTTATTATATAGTTACACATTTAATTTTGGAATAAATATGCAGTGGGAAAATACTAAAATGGATTCCTTCAATATATTTGAAATAATACTATAATAATAATAAACTATGTGATTTTCACATAGTTTTTTTTTTTTTTTTTTTGGCTATTAGTGTTTAATTATCTCTAATTGGTTTCTTAATGCTTAAGGGCATTAGCCTGGTAGAATAGTGTGCTTCAGATTTCCACACCATATGCTCCTGTTTTGATGCACATACATAAAGGATTTTCTTTGTATAGATAAAAATACAGTTTTTAAAAATTATTCTTGTGGTGTTTGGCAGGTCTGTGGATTTAAACTTTCTTCCATCAGTTGATCCTGAAACAGTTCTTCAGACAGGTAAGATAAAAAAAAGTGTTTATCATTGATAATCATAATCCAGTAAACCAATCATATATTGATTGGTTCATGAAATAAAAATTGATTAAACATGTATTACGTGGTAGAAACTCAAGGGGACTTTTAAAATTGGTCTTTGGTTTAACCTAACAGTGTGTTAATACACTTTACAGTATTTTTGGAAAGTATTAATAATGATAAACTGTTAAATTATTTCTCCCTTGAAATACTTATATTTATTTCAATTCAAAGAATTCTGAATATCTTCATTGTATTGATTCCACTGTACTGTTTTCAGAATGATATTGATCTTACTTCCTTAGAGAACAAAGAAATAATTGTAATCTATGAATTCCTACATGTTGAGCAGGTACAGTGGACTGTCAGTAAAAATATGGCTTGCTCTAGGTTTAAAATTTAATTCCATGGTTATATTTAACATTTTGAAAGCTACCAAAGCCCATGAATTAAGAAGTTTTTTAAATTTGTATTTTGAAATTAACTTTATATGCCACTAAGTTCTTTTTTTAGATGCTATTGACTCTTAGAATAGGGATAAAAAGAGAGTATAGAAATAGAGAGGTTTAGAACGATTTTGGGTATTTTTTAGAAATTGGAATTACCTTCAAATCATGATAAAAATTCTGTTTCTAAATATTGAAAGCCATTTAACTTTAGGACATTTTTCTGAATAAAGATGAAGAGAATTTAAGTATCTGCATATGTTTTTGGTCCTTAAGTAATAATTGGAATAGTATTATCCTGGAAAAACAGTTTGTGATTTATTCACTTTTAAAATTCCAGTTTTAGATGTTGCATATTCTGCAATTTTAATTTCTCATGCATGAATGGATTTTCTTACATGAGTTTGCTATATGAATAACATTGAAGTTCTTACACTAGTGTAGTCCCTCATGATTCAGTTAATATTTTGTAGAGATTCCTTAAATAGAGACTATTTAAATTTTATTTCATACCAGTAATAAAGCTTTCTCCCTTTAATCATACACTGTTACACTGTCAACTTTTGTTTTAGATAGTATGATTAAGGGTATGGATTAATACTGAAATCCTGCAACATCCTGCTTAGTATTGATTAGTACCATCAAATTAAACATACTAGTTAGTACCATACTAGACAGAAATCCCAGAGTGTAATTGTGCTCTACAGGGAAAGAGGATTGGTTGGTACAATTTCCTAAATAATGAATCCACCAATAACAAGAATGTGATGACAGATAGATAAAGAAAAAAATATGCCATATATTTACTAACTAGTGTAGCATATATAGTATATACATTCATGATATATATGATATATAGCATTTAAATATACTATGTAGTTGTGTACTAAAATATGCTATTTCCTATTTATTTCTATATATATTTAAAAATTGCATTTCAGTAATTATGACCTAGTAGATAGTTAGGCAGACATATAGGCAGATAGGTTCTAAAAATAAGGGACTATAATTGAGATTGAGAAGTAAGAATTGTATTTCTTTATGGATATTAATTATAAGTATCTTTCATTCGTAAAGGGCATGAATTGTTGTCCGAATTACAGCAGCGTCGATTTAATGGCTCAGATGGAGGGGTCTCATGGTCTCCTATGGATGATGAACTACTGGCCCAGCCACAGGTCATGAAATTATTAGATTCACTGCGAGAACAGTATACTCGCTACCAGGAAGTTTGTAGGCAACGTAGTAAGCGTACACAGTTAGAGGAGATTCAGCAGAAGGTGATGCAGGTAGGTGTCTGATTTGACTATATTTAACTTTTAAAAATTCTAAATGTTAGGGTTTTTAAAAAATAATTTCTACTGTATGACTGATTTTATACTAAGCCTTGTTATACTGTATAGAGAACCTGAGTCCTATCAAAACAGACTAAAACTATTTTATGTACATTTTTACAAATAGTATTTTCATTAAAACTAGATTATTTCTACAGTGATGACATTGAGCATTCATCTCACTCTATCTTATGAACTTTAAAAGTAACTAGTTGTTGGAAAATGTCATCTGTGGTCTCTGTATTCTTGCAATAAAATTTCATTATTGATAACTGATTTATTCTTAATTTCTAATAACTTGTTAGGTTTTTTTTTAATTTAGGCATTATGAAGAGTTTTTCTTCCCTAGCAAAATGATGACATATAATATAAGGAATTTTAATATTAAATTTCATTATTTTTTGATGCTGATAGAAACCTTTAATGTATTTAATACTTAGGAAGTTTCAGTTCCTTTGAGAGTTGATTTTTATAAAGAGAGTAGGCTAAAAATACTAAAGCTCAATACTAGGACATTTCTGTTACTTAGACCACATTCTGATTTTCCTCTGTTGCATTAAGAAATAAATATTAAATATTTTACTTAAATCCAGCAGTGAAATGTAGAAGACATTGTCCTAGGTTTTCTATAGAATATAAAGGTAGATTTGGTTTTTGCTATCATTAAGCTATAGGGATAAAGTTCTAAGTGTTAAAGGGGATGACAGAAGTGTTGTGGGCATCTATAGGAGGGATTATTGCCCCGGCTGCAGGTAATCTAGGAAGATTTAGCAGAGGAGGTAGTAGTTGAACTTTTTCTCCAAGAATGTGTAAAGATTTCAACAGGCACCTCTTTTTAAGTTTTAAAGAAGAATTGGCATTTTATGCAGAAGAAAGAACAGCATAAATAAACACTAGCAGCATGAAATCCCAAGCTCTTTAAGGCACCATGGGAAGTTTTTGGTTTGAATTATAAAGTATGGTCAGCAAGTATGATCTAAATCCCAGTTCCTCCACTTACTTACTGTGATCGTGGTCACTTTATTCGCCCATCTGCGCCTCAGTGGACTTCTTTTTTAACATCTCTCTCTTTCCCTTCCTCCCTTCTTTCATTAATCGAAACAAGGGTAACAAGACCTCTTTTGAAAGGTTTGTTGAAAGAATCCAGTGCTTGATTAATGGTATCTATTTATTTTCTTTGTACTAGGCTCTAGTCAATCAGTCTGGTCCCATTGTTGGCTAGCTTTTCCTATAAAATAGGGCCAAATAGTAAATGTTTAGGCTTTGTGGACTGTACAGTTCTTACAGCTATGGCTGTTAAGCTCTGGTGTTGTAGTGTGTAGACATCATATAAACAAATGTGTGTGGCTGTGCTAAAATAAAATTTTATTTGCAAAAATAATGGGTAGTCAGAATTGGCCTACAGGCAGTAGTTTGCTGACCCCTGACTAGAACATCAGGGTGTTAGAGTGGAAAAGGCTTCAAAGGAAGGAAGAAGTTGGATCATGGAAGATCTTGAATTCCAGGCAAAAAGATTTAGTCTTTTCATGATAGCCACATATACACTAAAGATTTCTAAGCATACATTAATTGTAGATAACTTTTTCTTTGTAATATATTTATAAGTTATAGATGGTATTAAACCCAGGTAAACTTCAGCCAAGTAGCTTGAGAGTATCTTTGAAAACCATAAATATAGAATAGCATAGTGATATACAAGTCATTTACATGATCTGGGTCCACCTTTTTCTACTATTTCCAAGTTGTTTACTTTCTCAGGAAGGAAATGTAACTTCTCAGTGCCCTAGCTTCCTCCTCAGTAAACTGAGGATGACAACAACAACAATAATAATAATACCTACTTAATAGGGCTGCTACAAAGATTAAAGAAAATAATGTTTATAAAATAGTGCTTAGCATATAATGAGTTTTCTATAAATAATGTCTGTTATTTGCTCACTCATTCAAAAAATGAATGTCTACAATGTGACTTTGGGCTAGGTAGAATATAATGGTAAGAATAATCTACGTTCCCACTTTTATGGTGCATGATTACATAATTACACAAATAGTTGTAAAATTGCAGTGGTGCCAAATCCCAAGAAGAAAAGTGGTGGAGTAAGGGTAAGAAGAAAATATCAGAGGGGAGCCTGGTGGTTCAGTCGTTAAGCTCCTGCCTTCGGCTCAGGTCATGGTCCCAGGGTCCTGGGATCGAGCCCTACATCAGGCTCCCTGCTCCCTCTCCCACTCCCCGTGCTTGTGTTTCCTCTCTCACTGTCTCTCTCTCAAATAAATAAATAAAAGCTTTAAAAAAATAAAAAAGAAAATATCAGAGATGAATCATTTTTCTGACTTGCAAGACTTGATGGGTGGTCTTGTTGGTCAGTTAGGAAACACTGGACAGGATTTGGGTTTAGGTGTGGGTGGAAAAGGGTATGGAGAATCATGAGTTTGGTTTTAGACATGTTGAATTTTTTTTAATTTAAATTTTAGGTAATGAAGATACAGTGCAGTTTTGGTTTATGGATTACAATTCAGTGATTCATCTCTTATATACAACACCCAGTGCTCATCACAACAAGGTCCCTCCTTAATACCCATCCCCCATCTAGCCCATCCCCCACCCACTTCCTCCATCAACCTTTAGTTTGTTCTTTATTGTTAAGAGTCTCTTATGGTTGTTTCCCTTTCTCCTCCCCCAATTCCCATATGTTCATCTCTTTTGTTTCTTTTTTTTCATTAAATTTTTTTATTGTTATGTCAGTTACAATACATTACATCATTAGTTTGTGATGTAGTGTTCCATGATTCATTGTTTGTGCATAACACCCAGTGCTCCACACAGAACGTGCCCTCTTTAATACCCATCACCAGGCTAACGCATCCCCCCACCCCCCTCCCCTCTGGAACCCTCAGTTTGTTTTTCAGAGTCCATCCTCTCTCATGGTTCGTCTCCCCTTCCGATTTCCCCTCCTTCATTCTTCCCCTCTTGCTAACTACTTCTTTTTTTTTTCTTAACATATGTTGCATTATTTGTTTCAGAGGTACAGATCTATGATTCAACACTTTGGCATAATTCACAGTGCTCACCATAGCACATACCCTCCCCAATGTCTATCACCCAGCCACCCCATCCCTCCCACCCCACCCCCACTCCAGCAACCCTCAGTTTGTTTCGTGAGATTAAGAATTCCTCATATCAGTGAGGTCATATGATACATGTCTTTCTCTGATTGACTTTTCACTCAGCATAACACCCTCCAGTTCCATCCATGTTGTTGAAAATGGCAAGATCTCATTCCTTTTGATGGCTGCATAATAGTCCATTATATATATATATACCACATCTTTATCCACTCATCTGTCGATGGACATCTTGGCTCTTTCCACAGGTTGGCTATTGTGGACATTGCTGCTATAAAAATTGGGGTGCACATACCCCTTCGGATCCCTATGTTTATATCTTTGTGGTAAATACCCAGTAGTGCAATTGCTGGACCGTATGGTAGCTCTATTTTCAACTTTTTGAGGAACCTCCATACTGTTTTCCAGAGTGGCTGCACCAGCTTGCATTCCCACCAACAGTGTAGGAGGGTTCCCCTTTCTCCGCATCCTCACCAACATCTGTCGTTTCCTGACTTGTTAATTTTAGCCATTCTGACGGGTGTGAGGTGGTATCTCATTGAGGTTTTGATTTGGATTTCCCTGATGCCAAGCGATGTTGAGCACTTTTTCATGTATCTGTTGGCCATTTGGATGTCTTTGGAAAAATGTCTGTTCATGTCTTCTGCCCATTTCTTGATTAGATTATTTGTTCTTTGGGTGTTGAGTTTGAGAAGTTCTTTATAGATTTTGGATACTAGCCCTTTATCTGATATGTCATTTGCATATATCTTCTCCCATTCTGTCGGTTGTCTTTTGGTTTTGTTGACTGTTTCTTTTGCTGTGCAAAAGCTTTTTATCTTGATGAAATCCCAATAGTTATTTTTGCCCTTGCTTCCCTTGCCTTTGGCGATGTTTCTAGGAAGAAGTTGCTGCGGCTGAGGTCGAAGAGGTTGCTGCCTGTGTTCTCCTTTAGGATTTTGATGGACTCCTGTCTCACATTGAGGTCTTTCATCCGTTTGGAGTCTATTTTTGTGTGTGGTGTAAGGAGATGGTCCAGTTTCATTCTTCTACATGTGGCTGTCCAATTTTTCCAACACCATTTGTTGAAGAGACTGTCTTTTTTCCATTGGACATTCTTACCTGCTTTGTCAAAAATTAGTTGACCTTAGAGTTGAGGGTCCATTTCTGGGCTCTCGATTCTGTTCCATTGATCCATGTGTCTGTTTTTGTGCCAGTACCATACTATCTTGATGATGACAGCTTTGTAACAGAGCTGGAAGTCCAGAATTGTGATGCTGCCAGCTTTGCTTTTCTTTTTCAACATTCCTCTGGCTATTTAGGGTCTTTTCTGGTTCCATACAAATTTAAGGATTATTTGTCCCATTTCTTTGAAAAGAGTGGATGGTATTTTTTTATTTTTTTAAGAATTTTATTTATTTGACAGAGAGAGACACAGCGAGAGAGGGAACACAAGCAGGGGGAGTGGGAGAGGGAGAAGCAGGCTTCCCGCGGAGCAGGGAGCCCGACGCAGGGCTCGATCACAGGACCCTGGGATCATGACTTGAGCCGAAGGCAGACGCTTAACGACTGAGCCACCCAGTCGCCCCAAGTAGATGGTATTTTGATGGGGATTGCATTGAATGTGTAGATTGCTTTAGGTAGCATTGACATCTTCACAGTATTTGTTCTTCTGATCCATGAGCATGGAACGTTTTTCCATTTCTTTGTGTCTTCCTCAGTTTCTTTCATGAGTATTTTATAGTTTTCTGAGTACAGATCCTTTGCCTCTTTGGTTAGATTTATTCCTAGGTATCTTATGATTTTGGGTGCAATTGTAAATGGGATCGACTCCTTAATTTCTCTCTCTTCTG